CACCCAGGAGGGAGAGAAAACGAATGAGTGAGAGAGGATGGATTAATGGTCAGTAGAAGCATAGATGTGGACATTTGGAGGGAAAAAACATTCTTTTTTCTGTAGCATGTCTGGCTTGAATTTCCAGAAAGCACAATATTAATGTTTATGGGTAATTTTACAATTAGGGGAATTTTTTTGTCCCTGAAGATGATTGGGAGGTGGGAGGTGGAAGGGAAGGGAAGGGAAGGGTGTGTGGCCAAGTATGGTGACTTAAAGAGAAAATGCCTAAAAAATTTGGAAACTTTGATGCACAAGCTTTAAAAATGGGAAATGTCTGGTTATATGCAGTAGTATCAATTTCAGTGAAAAAGCTTTGGATGTTAGATATTGGGGTGTTTATATGCATATTCAGAGTAGTAATATTGATCTTTATATGAGTGATTCAACAATTAGGAGAATGTTTTCTCCTTGAAGATGATTTTAAAGGAAAATAAATAAATAATTTTTTTTAAGCTTTACACTTTTTATTATTTAGAATTTAAATTATTTAACAATTGGTGTTTACAATTATAATATAATATTATATTTAAAATGTATAATATTGTAACGAATCAGCTCATGGGAAATATGAATAATTAATCATAACTAGTTATAATTAATTATGAATATTTTAGAATTTTTTTTTTGCAGGATTTTTTGTGTTGCAGGAAATTTCTGCATTTGATACCAAAATCCATTTGAATGTATTCAACAATCAGATCTTTATTCCAGGACATGAAATTAATGTTTTAACATGTATGATTAGTTTAAAAAATATTACATTTTCCAAGATTTTAAATAGGCAAAAGAGCCCTTAATGAAGAATCACCAATTACACCAAATACATTAACCCCGTGCATGGTTGCCTGCATCTTTTAACATAACTGCTGCTTCATTCCCATAACAAATGGTACATTTTCCAGTAGTCTCTTTGTTTTTCTTCAGTTAGAGTCAGTTTGCTGCCCTGTTTAATCCATAATCTTGTTGATATTTGTCACGGTAAATGCAGGGCATTCCAGTGTCCCCCGTTCACACGGCTTCAGTCAGTCCTGCCGTCATGCAACGTACCGCAGTGGACATAAACATAAAGTGGGAATGCAAACAAACTCCCCCTCTCTCTCTTTACTATTTCCGCTTTTGCGTACACTCACTCTCAAATTCTCACTTTCACAAGTGATTGCTCTTGTGAACTCCTTGGATCAGAGGCATGACAATGCTGGTTAAATAAGCACAGAGATGTAGGAGACAGACATTGACAAAGCAATCAAAGCAGCTCATCAGTATTGTCATGACATTGTCCTGCGGTTCCATATATGTGTTAAAGCATAACAGTATAATCAGAGGTATAATGCTGATGTGTGGAAATACTCGCCGACAGGTTCATAATTTAAACTGAGACAAGAAGCCAGGGCGAAAAATATGTTTCTGTCAGTGTTATGAAGTGTTATGTTTTTCTTCTGCAGGGATGAGACTCATGCTGAATGAGCACGATGGTCTGAAAAGAGAAGAAAAAATTTCCACATGGAGAGCACAGTAACATGTGAGTCCCTTACCATGCTTGAATGCAGAAACTGACCAATCAGAACTAAATATCCCTGAAAGCTTATTTATTTTTATTTGCTCTTTTATGTCATTCTGTGAAATATTATTAAAATTTAAAATAAATGCTTTTTTAATGTATTTTAAAATGTAATTCATTACTGTGAATACATTACTCAAAGCTAAATTTTCAGCAGCCATTACTCCAGTTTTTCCTTAAATCTTCCTGACCCCAAACTTTTGAACAGTATATATTATTTAACATCATGTGTGTTGCAGAACACGTGATATTTTCTAAGCAAATTATGATTCTGATGAAATGGACTTCTGCCCAGCTCCTTCCCCCCATGGAACATGACTTTCTACGTTATCTTCACCGGAGCTACATGTGCCAACATGTGATTTTCTTTAATCATATAGAATGAGTTTCAGTTGCCTACAATGTGGTCAAGGTTATTAATCTCATCATCTTCCATGAAGAAGCTGGATGATGTTCTTTTCATCTTACAGGACAAGCAGACACATAAGTTATTTCTATATTTAAAACTCATTTAAAATGTAAGTAGATTTTATATCTCAGAATTAAGAAAGTCCACATTGTATGATAAAAAGTCACAATTACCTTTTTCGTTTTTTTTTTTTTCTTTTAGAACAAGACTTCCATAGTATACTGATGAAATGTAACAGATTTGGATAAAAGTGTATACCAAATGAAAAAATATTAAATATTTACAATTAAATATTTATTGAAATTCCTATTCAAATATTAAATACGTATTGTGCATAGTGAGGACATATTGCAGTGCTTACTTTGCATCTGTTCACAAATCCATATGTGAAGCATATTTACCAAGGTGTTATGACATTCAGCAGGAGCTGAGAAAACCCTTAACACGTTGTGACCAGTGGGGGCGGGGCCGAGAGCCGTGGGAATCCAACACTGTCGTCACTCCTCCTTTTATCCTTCCGGAGCTCCTCCGTGGGACTCGAGACCGGTGAGTGGCGCAGGTGTCATGTATTATCACTTACTCCACTGGCCTCGCTCCGTTCCCACGGCTCTCGGCCCTGCCCCCACCCCCACTCGTCACACACGTTTCGCCTGCAAATGTGTGTGACGTACTGCAGCATTTATGCACCTGTTTTAAGTTGAAAATCAATGCTGGAGGTCCCAACTCCGTTTTCTTCAGTTTTTCCAGGAAAATGTATTTTTGGAGCCTTTGAGATAGTTGGTTGCAATCTGGATTATTAGTTATTTCAGCCAAATCAGATATGATGAAACACCTTTCTTTGATTTTTTTTTTATTTTTTATTAATAAACTCAAATACCTCCCAGGTTGCCTACAATTTGATGCATTGATCTTTAAAAATTGAAAATTGTCTGGTTCTGTGCACTAACATCAATTTGAATGGAAAAGCTTTGAATGGTAGACATTTGGGTGTTTATATGCACATTTAGTCATATCTGTACAGAATTGTAATTTATCTTAAGGTAATATCTGTTGACCACCTGTTTCAAAAAGCTTGTTCTTTATCAAAGTCTTGCAACAAAGCACTTAAAGGCTCTCTGAAGATTTATAATCAATTTGCTCTGGTTTAAATTACTAGGCTACTTCTGTAGCCATTGTGGCAAAACTTCAAACACTGGATTCAGTAGGACTTTCAGTAGGACTCAGCTATGATAAAACAATTTCATGACCTCCATTACTTGTTCTGTTGACCCTCTGTGTTTGCTTTACATATATACTGAACAGCGCAACACAGATGCACCTTCTTAGGTAGCATTCATTGTCAGCGAGTTCCTATCACTGACTGAGGAGCTGATGAATTGGATGCACATTGGGACAATGTTTGGACAAGTTAAGTTCACTCGTCCTAATATACGACCCCTTCTAAGACCTCTTGATCCATCTGTCCTCATTGCTTGATTTACCAAAACAGTGATATCCACCTAATATTATAAATCTGTGGCTTCTTAAGTGGTTTGGACTGAATGCAGAACACATCTAAAACTGAAGTATTTCACCGGTGACAGTCTGTATTTGTGTAGCATTATGTCTGTCAGCCATTGAAACATGTGTCTGGTTCATACTCTTACCTTACAAAGGCTGCAGTGTGGAGGAGTAAACTGAATGAGAACTCATCACCATAACTGCACAGCTTTCTGTGAATGAGACTCTACTTCACAAGATGAATGTAGGAAATGGAATGGTTGGACCTGCTACAATAAGATATGGAAATGGTGGTGTTAGTAGCTGTGTGTGAAGAGGAATGTGATAAAGCTTTCTTTTCAACAAATATTCCACAATAGTTTTGAGGTTGATGTGTGACTATAGCCAGTGTGAACCAATGGCAATATTCAAATGTACATACTGATAATGTTTCAAGCACTTGGGAACAATATACTTTTTTTTAAACTCTCATATTAAATATGGCACATATTCAGTTAGATATTTGTGATTTTGGATCTTGTTCTGTGTGAAATTACTTATGCACTTACTTATCCATGTAATAACAAGATCCCTGCAGCTAAAAATGTCCCATTGTGTATTTGATTCTTAAAATGTCTTGATCCAAAAGATTCCTGCAATCTGTAAATGAAACCCATCAGTTAAAGGTGAGTAATGTCATGACCATGCTTTCATATGTGTATTAAAAAACTGTAGTGAGGATGGAGTAAAATGAGTGGGTCGAGTTTATACGTTTTATAGTGAATAAGATGAATAAAGCTGGGAGCTACTCTGTTTCATTTTAAACTCAGCCAAATACCAAAGCCCAGAGCAATTAATAGAAACCATAAAACATATGCCATTAAAGTGGACTCAAAGTTCTGGCAATGGTTCAGCTCCATCTTGTATATTAATTTATTTTTAATTCAACAAATGCTTTGCAGCTGTTTTACATTTTGTAAGCTCTGGGGACACACACACAAACTCACAGAAAGTAACCTACACCTGAAAAAGAAGGAAAGTCTGGTCTACAAATGCATTTGTATATCTTGTTGAATGTTTATTTTATACTATTTTATTGTATTGTGCTTTATATCGTTCATTTCTTGGTATGCATTGTTGGTATTATTTTTAGTAGCATTACTAGCAATTTTTTCAAGCTACAGCAATATTGTCTATCAAACAATACACACATATATATATATGATTTGCAATTATTTGAGTAAAAAGCATTCTCAAAGTTGACAAATTAAATATTCATAATACCTATGGAAGAAATTAAACGTTTTATAGCCTATCTTTAACAAAAAAGTTAAAACAAGACTTGCTTGTTTACACTTGTGTAACATCATTAAACCAAAACAGGACCAGATTAATAAAATAAAAAGTATTTTGCTATTATTTCTAATATAAAACCCTGAATTGCATTCTAAACTTTCAAAGAACTATAAAGATTCATAACTTTCAAGTGATCCACACAATCTCACCCACAAAGCGATACGCACAAACCACGTGCTGGCGAGAGGAACCAATGAGCGCTTTATACGTCATCATTAGGAGCCGGTAGTGGAACGCGCGGGATTTTGAATACAAAGAAAATCGAGAGTTTTATTTTCAATCTTCAAAACCATAAACTAACGCGTTCAAGCAACCAAAACATGTCAAAGAAAGCACCGAGAGCAGCCCTGAAGCTCCATATGAAGAAGAACACTAATATACGGATAGGAAAAAACGCAGAGTTGATGGTGAGTTAATGAAAATGAACCACAACGGTTTTCCACAAACGCGCGTCATATTTACATGAAATTATGCTTTCAGATTAATCAGATAACAGTTTAGCTGTCAAATGATATGTGTACTGTTATTCAGTTGTTGTGTAACGTTAGTCAGAATATTGCCGGTTTCTTATGTGAGTTAAGCTACGTCAGATTTACGGAGATGGATGTTTGATGTTTGGTTTGTGTCTCAAAACCTAATAAGCAGCCTACATAGACAGCATTTTGAACGTTTTAAACGCCCATATGAAGCACAGAAATGCTGTCTAGGCAGGGAGATCAGTAGGTTTTAAGACACATCCATAGGTTTTCATCAGGCTCAGGCAGGGAATAGTTTTTTGTTGGCTTGTGAACTTTAAAAGATTAAAAACATGCTTCTAACATTACATATTACAATGAACACATCTCAACCGATGTGAAAGCTTAGAATTGGAAGAAAAATGCAAGAACGTGTTATTTCATACACTTAAAAAAGTTTTTTTTTTTTTTTAAGAAAATATTTTTTCTTTGAATGTTCTGTTATTTTGACGGAGCAAGATCTTAATTTTACTTTATTTATTTTTGTAGCACAATGTAGATACACAACTTTTTTCTTTTTTAAATTATATGCGATTAATAAGACCCTATATGAACATTATAATGCAATATGGCCAGGTTGCATATTTTTAGAGCTCCCCTCAGTACTTGAAGCCTATAATATGTGGTGCATTATAAGTATGCCTTGTGATGCACTTTATATTGCATTGTTGGACCTCATGGATAATTTTAACCACAGTTATAATAATTCTATCTATTCCTTGTTACACCTTTAGAAGGTACAAAACATTAAACCATATGACAAACAACCAATTTCACATGTAACCAGGAGTCTGCAAATATTATAATGCATTTTAACTTTGGTTACAATTATTGATGAAAAGATTTAGTGCCAGTAGTAGGCTTTAATAGTAGGCTTAGTAGTAGGCTTTTCATATCGAGGTGAATTGAAATGTTTAATGTAACTTTGTCTGATACATTTTACTGCTTATTTGCATTATTATACAAAAATCAAGAAGCACTGCCTGTCTCTCACCAGCCACTCTACATAAGCTATTTATAACTTGTTTCTAAAGCTTTTTGTCTGGGTTTTTTCATTATAATAATTATTATTATTATTATTATTATGTGGAACTGAGCTGTAACATGATTGCAGGCTGCATCTATATTCAAATGCACATTGTCTCCATTGGAACCATATGTCAGTGCATTTTCAATAACTGAGACTATGGCTCAGACGGTAATGATTTGTTTGCTACCAGTGTAAATTCTTGTCACTTAGGAAAATACCTAATTCTAGGATCAGGAAACCACAAATGGGCGGACAAGCCAATAAAACCAATAAAAACCACCATGTTGTGACTTTTTTGAAGTCGGTTTTATTTTAAAGAGCAGATCATTTGCCGTTTATAACCTAGCTATCCTTAAATGAAAACATTCTGCAAAGTTGTTAATCAAAAAAGTGCATGATAAATAAAGATGTTGTCTCTCAAAAGAGAGAGTCCCATGGAAAATGCTAGGCAAACTTGCCGAAAGGCAAACCTCAATCAACCTAAACCACTGGAGTCCCCTTTTGAAAACTGAAGTTCCTTAAATAAAAATAGTTTCTATATTTTTCCTATTTAAAACTTGACTCTTCTGTAGTTACATTGTGTACTAAGACCGACGGAAAATGAAAAGTTGCGATTTTCTAGGCCGATATGGCTCGGAACTATTCTCTAGCCATATCGGCCTAGAAAATCGCAACTTTTCATTTTCCGTCGGTCTTAGTACACGATGTAACTACAGAAGAGTTTTAAATAGAGAAAAATATAAAAACTCTTTGGTCATTCATTTTTGAGCGAGATGCTAACGGTCTGATCAGATTCAATGATTTATGCTAAGCTGCAGGTAAAAGTGCTAGCGCCAGACCCAGAGATTGGCTGAATGTATTCGAAAACGGTAAAACTCAACTGTTTAACTCTAGGGGAGTTGGAAAATGAGCCTATTTTCAAAAATAGTGGAGTGTTCCTTTTAACTTAGCAGATGTGTTTACATTTGTTTAATGTTTTATATCCAAGCTGCACTGATTAAACCAATTTGTTTTATGCATCATCACATGAAGTGGCCAGACTGGCCACTGTAAATGTTGTTACATGCATTAGATGTATGGCAGTGTCGCATGCTGCCTCTTTGATTGCTTGATACTGACCACTTCATAGCTTAAGATGATTAAAAGGAACTTCAGTTTTCAAAGGTGGACTCCAGTGGTTTAGGTTGATTGAGGTTTGCCTTTCGGCAAGTTTGCCTAGAGTTTTCCATGGGAATTGGGGAATTATCCGTTGTTTTAAGTTGAGGGGCGCTGTACATAGTTGGTTATGCTGTGTGTGTGTATATGTGTGTGTGTGTGTAGGATGTCTGTGCAACAGGGTCCTAATTAATGGTCCATTGCAGCTGGTCTTTCTTTATGGAGACTGGAGGTGGGGATGTAAAAGCCGCCTAAAAGGTGCTCTGCTTTACAGGGGTCTAATCCAGCCATTAAATTAAAAGGAAAATACAGGGGGGAAAAAAATGAAAGAGAGGCTTTTTAAAAATTTTTTTTAAAATAATTCACCTTCCTATGAATATGTACCAGTTTCATCTGGTTTCCTGTGCTTTTAATAACAAAAATCCTAATAAGGCCCTTCACACTTTGCCTTATGCATCACATCATGAATGAGTCTGCTTGTAATTGTGCAAGCTATGATTGTGTTTTGGCTTTCAGATGGAACCATTAATCTTAGTTCTCTGGTTGTAGACTGACAGTTACAAGTATTTCCAACACTGAATCTATAGCTTCAGAGAAAAACAATGTGATTACATTCTGAACTGGATGTGATAAGATAAACACGCACAATAATTCCAATTATTATTTCTTTGCTTTACTCAAAAGCAAGCACACAGCCTGACCAGTGTAGTCTGATTCACAAACAAATGACTCTTACAAAACTGTTCTTTTAATGAATCGCACCAAAGACTTCAATGACTACGAGTCATTCAATGTATGGACTATGAATCCTTCTAAATCTTTAGACACTTCAAATCTGAGTCTATATTACAAGTCTTCTGAAGCCATTTGATAGCCTTGTGTTTTCATGAGAAACAGACTGAAATTTAAGTCATATGCAAAAACAGTTCAGAAAGAAAATTATTTGTACGGCAAATATTTCATTTTCAGAGGTAATTTTAAGCCTTAGGTAACTTAAATAGACTGGTAAAGTAGATGTCAAAATATCAAATGAGAAACAGAGGTGTTTACACCCAGAACACTGATTTTGAACTGTAAAACAATAACAGGAATAGTACATGTTCAATTTCCTCAGAAACGTTTGATCCAGATTTCCAGTATAGCATGACAATCTCCTTGACGGCTTTTTCCTTAACTATTCTGCGCTATATCAAAAGTGCTGAGACTCATGTTTCCTGTCTCCTGCGTCAGATCTTACTCTGTAAGCTCAGAAACAGTTTGTGAGATTATCCCAGTCATACTATTTCATCTCTCCTGCTTTATAAGTGCGTCCTGCCGGGTGGAGCAGTGGCTTAAGACAGCGCTTTGTTCCCTCTGCCGAACTGGGATTTTTCGTTGCATTTGATGGTTGATTGAACACGAAAATAATCAGCTGCATCCTGCAAGGAAGCTGTGAAAAAGTGTCTGTTTTCTTTTTCTAGATCTCCCCCCAAATCATAGACCCACTCTTGACCCCCGACAGCAACGTTTCCTCCTTGGTGTTAAGAATCCCTGGGAAAGTATAGAAAATCAAGGGGCTGTTTTGGCGGCCCAGGCCAAGAGCTCCTGGCATTTTCACACCAGGTCATTAGAAGTTGTGCCTGGCTTGTATACTTTAATTGGATGATGGGTTCCTGAGTTGAAATTGGTGGTTGCAGGCTGTTCAGAAGTGTTTATTTAAGAAATGATAATTGCAAATCCTGGTCTGAGTCTGGTGAGGTGAATGTTTTGAATTTGTACCTTTTCAGAAATGTGAAAATCTTGCGTTGTTAGAATTTATTAATGTTGCTGGTCTTTCTTGCATTCATTTGTATACTAAATTGTGGATTAAATTGTGCATGCTCAGTCTTTATATTTTTTACATTTATCCTATATTACATACATTGGCATCTAATGATCGCTTTAATTTTCAGCAAATCTCAAAATGAAGATCAATTTTTTTTGTCCAGTAAATTCTAATGCTGTGATGGCCAAAATTGATTTGGTGATTGATTTGAGATATTATGTAGACAAAATGTATTAGTTTAGTTGGCACAATTTAGTTGGTTGGTTCGATTCCCTAGCAATTGAACCTGCATACTAGTGCCATGCTCTTCTGTTTGAGCTCCAGGAAGGCCTAAAGGCCAATAAACATCAGTGGCTGTTGGTTTTGTTGTATCAAGAGTGTTGTTAACTTTTCTGGTGTTTAATGGTGCAGTGTGAACTAGCCTTGAAACTTACACTTTCTTGAAGCTGTAACAATTTTCTTTTTCTACAGTCTAAGCAAAGGGATTTCCTTCAGGAAATGTTAATCCAGTTCTAGTTACTCTAGTTACACTTTCTGATACAAGGCCATGGTGACATTTGGACAGATCACAGGACAGTCTAAGTCTGCACTGCACACTCTGAAGCAGAAGGTGCAGACTCTCTTTAATGATCCTGAAGCAGACCGGTTTTCTCTGCACTCCTCTGCCCTTGGTGAGGATTCCATCATGTGCGTTCCGTGTCTGAGCAAGGCAGCAGAGACGACCTCTGCTGTAATCAGTTCAGCCCGGTTGTTATGTTTTGGCAAAGCCTCTGGCACAGGGGAAGCCTACATGGGATTCTCAGTTTCCTTTTCGAAAAACACTCTCAAGACCAGCTGTTGGAGAAGTATTCAGACGCCCCAGAGATGACCCACAATTATGAAAATGAGGTATTAATAGATTTA